TATAGTCATTATTCCTTCTACTCGTATGGTCACACTCAATGGTATTTCAACACTCATGTATATTGTTTTATTTATTATGGGTCTTTTTATAGTTTTTGTTTTTTTTTTTTTTTTTTGCTCTATGGTTATTGCTTTCTTGTGTTTTGTCATCTTCCGTTTTATATTTTCCAATTTGTTATACACTTAAGGTGTTGTTTGGTAAGAAATAATAGAATGGTTGAAATGAAAATAAAAATTTGATTCTCTCTTTATAGGAATTTTATTGAAAGGAATGAAATGAGGATAAAATAAAAATAAAACATAGTTTTATTTTTATGAAAGGAGGTGATAATAAAACAAGGAATGAAAATGAGATTTTTTTCTTCAAAATAGTAATATGTTATTTTTATTTATTGTATATCAACTAGTTTTACCATTATTATCACATCCATTACCTCGACCTCAGCTATTGATGGTGGTGATTAAAAAAATAAAAAAATTATTATTTTTATTATTTTGCCACCACTCCTTCACTACTATCATCATTTTTATTATACTACCATCACTATCATTTTTTTTATCACTACCACCTTTTATGATAGTAGAATCAATTGTTTTTAACATATACTATTGATATTATTGTACTATTATTAATTATTTTTATTATTTTGCCACAACTCCTCTACTAGTATCATCATTTTTATTGTACTATCATCACCATCATTCTTTTATCACTATCACCTGTTATGATATTAGCATCAATCGTTTTTAACATATACTATTGATATTACTATAATATTATTACTACTACCACTCGCTGCCATCGCTAACCCAATCACATCTATTATTTCACTATTAGCATAGTCGTTGAAATAACTTTTTTTAATTATTATTTTATTCATCTTAAAATCGGATATTAAAAATTTTGAATTGCATTACGATTCTTTGTTACCATTTCAAATATAGTTTTAGAATGAAAATGCCATTTCAATTTCCTAATTTTCATTTCAATTTCTATATTTTTATTTTTGATAACCAAACGACCCTTTAGGTATTTATTTATTTATTAGTGGCCTTGGTTTTGTAACTCTGTGGCAATTGTCTCTTTCATCTTTCTTTTTTGGATGGTTGTTTGTTTATGCTCTTTTCTTTTATATTTGTAATTTCTCTTATGTCATTGGATGGTTTTGAGCTATTATTTTTTCATCATTTGATCATTTCCTTCTCTTTCCATCTTTTTTTCCCTTTTTCATTTTTTTTCTTTTGTTTCCTACCCACCTTTTTTTTCTTTCAAATTTCATTGTGTGGTTTTATGTTATCTTCTTTTGTGCTTTTATGCCAATGTTCTACATTGAAAACAAAAGAGTGAAACAAATTTATTGTAAGTTTTAGTAGAGTTTTTTTTTTTTTTTTTACCTTTTTCATTTTAGTCATCATACACATATGTGTTTTTATTTGATATTTTAAGTCTTGAAATGTTTAAAATGATCCTAAATTATATATGATTAATTCAAGATAGATTTAAAATAAAATAAAATATTTTTAATAAATAATAGATTTGTCAATTGTGAGGATAATTTGAAGTTGTATTAATTAATGAGATAACTATATATGGTTATCTTGAAATAAAATCTTGTGTTTTTAATTAATTTGACATGTTTGAGGAAAATCCATTATTGTATTATAAGAATATAGTTTGAAATATTTATATTTCATGTTTATATTTTTTTAATTTTTAGAATTTATGTATTTTCTTTGCTTTATAATTTAATTTTGTTTATGAATTAATTAAAATTATTTCTTTAAATTTTATTTCAACTCAATATTAGATTGAGTATTTAAATATTTTTTAAAACAAATATAAAAAAATAATAGTTGTATCTAGTAGTGTAGGTAAAAAGCTTTACTAAGTTTTGATATATAAATACTTTCATACCCCAATTTTTATCCATTTTTTATTTTAGTTTATTTACTTTTGTTTAGTTTTTTTTTTTTTTTGGTTCATGCTTAACAAAAGTAAAAAATTTAATTAAGAAAAATAGATTAAAAAAATTATTTATTATTTGTAATCTTTACATAAAATACAAAAAAAGAAAAGAAAAGAAAAAAAAACGGAGGGAGGGACAATTCCCTCCATCTCATATATAAATTTTCAGCTTTCCTTGGGAACCAATTCCAAATTTCAGTTTGGAAAATTCCAATCTCGATAACCTTTTTTCCTTAGGAACCAATTTGGTTCCTAGTTTCAGCCTTGAATCTCAACTTGCATCATCCTTTTGGCTCTAGCAATCGGCCACTCCAGTAGCCCCTGCTGTAATTTGCAACCCACAACCTCTCTCTATGGTCAACAATCTCGACGAACCCCTCTATTACAGCCACCCTACAGCCCACAACCTCACCCTCTACTCATCCATCTTGTTAGCTCAAACTTGCCCCCGCACTTCTCCCATCTAGTCAACAATGACCGACACGACCACCCTATTGCTCGTAAATCTAAGCGAGCTTCCTCATCATCCAAATCAATCTCCATCACCCTACTGCTGCAACTCCTACGAGCAATACCCTACCGCCTTAGCCCACAATCCAACCACTAATCTACCTCCAACAGTCTCACCACTACCAACAATCACCCTACATTGTCCAATCTAACCCACACCCATATCCCGAGAAAATCCTCCACCATCATAGTGGGGGAACCAACCAAGCATTCATATGTATATATATGTACACAATTCACAAACAAAAGAGGGGTTTTTCACTCTAAAATTTAGATAGATTAAGCTATCTAAAAATTCAAGGAAATTAATCTAAAAAAAAAAGAGGAAAAGCTGAGCGGTAATAAAAATCCAAAAAAGAGAAACGAAGTTACTTCTGAAGCATCAATCCATATTTATCTTTATTCTCTTAGGTAATCAATTCAATTTTGCTTTGAATTCGATTTCTTTTACTTGTCAATTTAGGTTAGTCTTGAATTTTGGGGCTTTTTGAAATTGAATTTAAATCGGGGTTGGGAAGCACGAATTAAACTCAACTAAAATCAATTAGAGTTTCAATTTGGGTTTTAAACCCAAATTGAAGCTAAATTGATTTCAATTCAAATTTAGGATTCTTGAAGTTTTTTGAACAAAATTGATTTGGGGGTTTCAAGAAATTGGTTTCTAATAAGTGGGATTTGGTTCGATATGAAGAGATATTAAGCCAATTAAAAGAAAAATTTGAAGAATTGAAAAACTTAGTGTTCGATCGGAATTGGGGAAACTTTCAAAAAAATTGATTTGGGGTTTTTATCTAACTTGAAGAGAGGGATTGATAGAGTGAGAGGGAAGGATGGATTGAGAAAGAATAGGGGAGATCTCCGATTCATTTTTCATGGAGATTTTGGCATATAAGAGTTAGGAGAAAGTGAGATAGATTCGAAAGAGAGAGAAAGAAAAAGGAGAACGATGAAGAAGGAAAAGGGAAGAGAAGAGAAAAGAAAGGAAAATGGAAGAGAAGAGATGGGAGGTATGAACCAGCTTTGGTTCGTCCATGGAGGTGGAACGAGAGAGAGAGAAGAAGAACAACAACAAAGAAAAAAAAGAAGAGAAAATGGGAAAAAGAGAGATGGAAAAATGAAAAAAAAGGGTCTTTGATCTAATTTTTTGTTTAAAGAAGAATTAAGAAGTGTTTGTGGGTTGTGCAAGCCCAACCCGTGCGTGTGGTTGGATTGAGCTAATTTCAGCCCAGTCCGACCACCCAAAAATAAAAAACTTTGGGCTGGATCGCAAACCCAAAAAAAAAAAAAAAAAGAGAGAAAGAGTTAGAAAAAAAATTTGGGTCTTTATTTTTATGCATGTTGTCGTTTCATATTTAATTTAAATATTGAAGTGTCTTTAATTATTTTAATTAATGTAATTTTAATTCTTGAGTTTATTTCATACATGTTTGTTAATTTATGTTAACTTAGAATTTAATATTTTAATTATCTGTAATTATTTTAATTTTGAATTTATTTTATGCATGTCCGTTATTTAAATTTCAATATTTGAATTTTCTTTCATTTATTTGATTAGTGTAGCTTTTATTTATTTATTTAGTAATTAGGCTCAATAAGTGATAGGTGAAGGATTGTCAAGTCTCCTAATTCTTTAGGGACCGATGATGCTCTTCTATCAAATAAAAAGGAAAGAAAAAAATAAAAAAATAAAAAAGAAAGAATGAAAAAATAAAAAAAATCATAAATTTTTAACAAAGTTTCCTATCCGATAGAGACTTTTGTTAGCCAAAAAATATTTCTAATAAATAAGTGTTTTCGAGCAAAGCGAGTTGTGTTGAGACTCAAAAAAGTGGATTCGATGTTTGAACCGACGTGTCTCCCGAAGAAGTGGTCCAACAATGGTTACAATACATGCCAAACTAAAAAATAAAAAACTTAATTTGACTTGAAAAATTGAAGTTTCAAAAATCAAAAAAATAATTTAGCAAAAATAAAATACTTTAGGAGATGAATTTATGACTAAACTATACATAATACCTTTCTTAGGAAAGGGCACTTTTGGGTGATTAAACATCTATCCAAAAGTGTAACCAACTCCTTACCCTAAAGTCTCCGAACCAGTTGTCTATTTTAGGTTTTCTATTCATTCAATACTAGATGGTGACTCCAAACTATGTAAATAAATTTTATAAATAAATAAATCTATAAAATAGATTTTCGAGAGTCCCGTCCGACTTTGAGTAGCAACAAATACAAAAGAATTTAAAAGTAAAAGGCCATTATATATTTTAATGAAAAAGTACTAGATCAAATTTTTCTTCTATTTGTAGAGAGACAATGTAATCTCCTAAATCAATACTTGATTGTCATGTATGCAACCTTATTTCCAAGATCTATATCTATCTTGGCATCCACCAATGTACTCCCTCCTCTCTTTAGCAAAATAATTTCCTCTCTCATCTTGCTTTGATCCAAAAAGAAAACAAAACTATGATTAAATAAATTTATTTACACCATTATCATCATATAAATTCTCATCATTTCTCTATTGCATCGGCTTTGTCATGGATTTTAACCGAATATCGTTATCAACATACTTAAGAATTTCAATTGAAAATTGATGAGAACCATTGATGCTCTCAATCATGGAGGAAAATAGTTGATACTTATAGCGGTTGCAAGGTGTGTCCATAATATGGTGTTTAAGTTTTTCTTGAGTGTCTTCTTAGTGTTTTTCTTCTCTATTATTATTTATCATTTTTATTTTTATTTTGCCCTTTATCATTTATGTATGGATTTGATGTTATTTTCTAATTAGGTTACTATGGAGCTTGTCTCGATCGAAATTCCCAAAAAAGTTATTTTTTACTCGATTGTGCGTAGTTTATTGGTTTATTGAGAATGTTTCGTATGTTGTTTTTCTTTTTTTTTCTTTCTTTTCATGTTACTAATGGGTCTTATTTATTTGTTGGTTTTTATTGCTACTATTTTGATTGATGTAACACTATTTCATCATTCTAAGTTTGTCTCCTCTCTTTTGTTAACTTTGATTTCGTTGTTCGGGTTTTCTTTAAGGAAAATATACATGACAAGCAAAAGTTTGTTTATTTCTCTCCAAATGAAATTTTCTCCATAAATAAAATTGTTTCATACTCTCTTTGTCCCAAGAGATCTTTTGTATTTTTATTTATATTTATCTCAAAATACTTGTCCGATCAAAATTGAAAGCGATGTACTTTCTTAAAATATTTATAATTAAAGTCTATGTTGTAAAAAATTATCCAAATACAATTCTTTAAAAAAAAGTATTTTTGAAAAATATGAATAAAATATGTTGATATGATATAACAATTAATAACATTCTTCATCTATATACAAATTCAAATGAGTAATCTCTTTAGGATGGAAGTAATATGATTGTTAGTTATTTGACATTTCATCTCTTTCACTATCTAAATATTTTGCTGTTAGTTTTATAAATGAGAAAAATTTATAATTATGTGACTAGTTGCCCATTGTTGGCTTCTTTATAACTTTTCAAACACGTCGCTTCTCGACTTGATTGAACTTTTCTCTCTCTTTTTTGACAAATTTTGACATTTATTATTTACATTTGATTGTTAAAAAAAATGCGATTGTAGTGTTGTGTAAATGAGTTGTTTTTGACGACATTGTTTCAATGCTTTCATGAATGTCTTTACGGCATGTTATTAATAAGAGCTTTTGATTAAATCATGTTTTTTTCTTTCTATTTGCATGAATTTTGTTTAGTTTTTCGTGTTAATTTTTAGTTTTATTTATTTTTTTATAAAATAAAGGTATGTATTTATCTTAGATGATTCTCATTCAAGTTAAATGACAAATACACTGATTTGGAATCTTATTGTTACTTACAGGGATGGAAAATTTAGTAGTCATGTAACTAGTGGCTATTTGAATTCACGTAGATATTTTCATGTTTAAGGTTTTAATCTATGTACACAACTTTGATTTTTAATAAAATATTATATTGTTGTTGAACTTACCTCAATATAATTAAGTATTACGATTTATTATATTGTTTTTGCCTCTTTTGTTTCTTTTCATAAGTTCAAGGATAATTCTATTTGTACTGAATAAAACACTCCCGAGATGGAAATGAACCAAATAATGCATCCTTATCACGGCAAGAGTAAATTAGTATTTATTTATTTGATAATATATGTGATTTGTTAATTTTTTTTTATTGAAGATTTGTTAATTTAATTTGTCATATCGGTTCCTAGTCAGTAGTCATCCTCGTCTCTCTCTATAGTGAAAATGCATTAAATCGAAAACTGTGTTTACAGTTTAGCTAATCTCTGGTTCTCTGGTTTAAGAACCCTCTTTTTTTTTTTTTTTTTGGAACCATTATAGTTGTGGCACATTTAATTCTCTATTATCAATGATTAATTTTATTTTTGAATAAATATTATCTTTTTGTTTGATTTGACTATTATTATTGATGAAAGATTCTTTATCTTTTTTTCTTCTATATTTGGTACGCTGAGCTGAAATTTTTTGCTTATGTTTTAATAAAAATTCAATAGATTTTAAAAAATAATTTCAAAATTTTTTTGAGGTCAAGTATTTTTTTTTGTTTTATATAACATTAAATATTAATAATATTAATAAAATTATAAAAAATAGAAGGTAATTTGGAATGATCACAAATTTTGTTTGGGGCCTTAAAAATCATATAAATTTTATATGCTTAATTTTAGTATGGTTTTCAAAAAAATTACAAGGTCGAATGCATAACATCTAACTACGATTAAAATAGATTAATTTTAGAAATCATATATGTAAAAGTTTTGAGAGTCCCACTAAAATTAATTAGGTAAATTCACCTTAAAAGTTGAAATTATTTATGAAGGTGAATTGAATTTTCATTAGTATCTATGAAAAATTTCAATTGAAAATATCAAAATATGAATTTTTATTGTTTAAAAAAAATTTAAAAAATACTTTTCAATTATAAAGAATTCAAAAATTATTTGCGAAATTAGATTGAATTTTCATTAGTATCTATGAAAACTTTTAGTTGAGAAAACCAAAATATGACTTTTTTTAAAATAGATTTTCAATCAATACTAATAGTTAAATCAAACTGAGGGATGATATTAGCTCAAAACATGATAATTTAAGAATAAAATTAACCAAATTGATAACCCCAATATTTCTTAGCCAAAAAAAATTCCATCAAATCGCAAAAAGAGCAACTGCCTATGAAGTTGCCACTATTGTTTCATGCTGTCTGCAAATTGAGATCAAACAGGCACGGTTAATGATCAAGAATAGTGTCTGAACGGCGCCAAAACAGACACTGTGGGGCCCATGGACTTTTTGGTTTTTCATTTTTTCCTCATTGCATTCCCTTCCCAACACTGATCTAAAAATATTGTTCTGTATAAAGAAAAAAGTGCTGTAATTTAGAAAGTCTACCTATATATATATATATATATATATATAAAGTGCTGTAATTTAGAAAGTGTAGTGTTGGAACTGGAAATGAAAGATCTAGAAAGAAAAGAATATGGCTCTATATTAACGTAAATTGAATTGGAATAAATTCCACAAACCAATATTTTTTTTGTTCTACAGAGCTTGGAGACATGGGCAACGAACTCTTATCATTTTACAAGAAAAAAGTCATACAATGATCCGGTTCTTCACAAATTCATACAGACCTCGCCAGGGTTCTTTGCGTTCTTGTCTAGAATCTTACACCATTGATCCCTTGAAGCAGCAAGGCATCTAAAGAAAAATAAATCAACCCCTAAAGATGCCAGAGGGATCAGCATTTTGAACAATCCAGGGATGCTCAAGTAGCTTATGTAATGGTAGGCGCTCTGCAGAATCCTTGACAAGCATCTATTGTTCAAAGAGGCAAAAAAAAAAAAAAAAAACGAGAAAAATGAGTACAGATCACAAGCACACGCCACACCCAAGGTGCATTTACTCTCAACAGGATCCCCTTCCAAAAGTGACAATATCATATTATTTCCTGCATGGTTAATTAATTCTACTAGCAAGGTCTTACACAGCTTTCAATTCTAGGTAACTTTGGCGTCTGCACATATATCACAGATTTCAATTCCACAATCCACACCAGTGTTTCCCCTAACCAAATCACTTTTTTTCCTTTTGGGTAATTAAGTTATAATATTGAAATGCCAATTAAGTTCTAACATGGAAGATGCAGTTGGGTTGAAAAAAGCAAGAATTGAATTTTCACCTGACTAATAAGGTCCTTTGCAGCAGAAGAGACGATTGGTTTTAGTGGGAACTTCAGATCCACTTGCACAATTCTGTTGATAAAGTAACAAGTATCAGCAACACAGGGTAAAATGGATTATAAGTTTGCTCCAGATACTGTCACAAACAAAACGTATTATAAGTTTGCTCTAAATAATGTCACAAACAAAAGGTTTCAACAAATCAAAGTATCCTTGATTCTTATTTATAGCACAGAAGCAAGAGACTCTTAATGAGGGAACAATAAGAGAAATGTAATTAACAAGTTAGCAACATCAAGAATGAGAAGCATTTAGGATCCTTCAGTGCCTTTAAATTGGAAAAACATTACGTATTCTGAATGAAGGCAAATTTGCAGTTTTCTTCTTTTTCTTTCATTTTTTCTGATTCATGCCTTACCTTCTGTATGTGTCTGAGTGTTCCTTGGCCTCAAATGGAGGGACACCATATAAAAATTCATAGCACAAAACGCCCAGGCTCCATATATCAACGCTAGCATCATGCTCTACACTTTCCACTGCACCATAACAGAATACCAGAACAGTTATTATTCGATGGAATCAGACAAAGTTATCTTTGGACGAGTTGTTTCAAGATTATTTTAAAGCCATTTCCTTCAGACAGTCAATCAGTATTTGAGCAGCTCACTGAATTCAAACCAGACAAATGACGCTAATACAAATTTTAAGGGGAAAAAGACGAAGGAAAACTACATTGGCCTTTAAATCCAATGGCTTACATACATACCCATCTCTGGTGGGAGGTAGTCCAATGTACCACACATTGTCCGCCTGCGGTTAAAGGTGTGCACTGACCAACCAAAGTCTGCAATCTTGAGCTCACCCTGGTAACAGAAATCAATGTTAACTCTATTTACGAGCACATAAACATACACAGATACAATTCAATCAATCAGAAATTCTATCCAAGGATAACTGTCATATCACCTGTGCACCAATTAACAGGTTCTCTGGCTTGATGTCTCTGTGTATTACATGCTTGCCGTGACAATATATCAGTGCTCGGGCCAAAGATGCAACGTACTACATTTACCACATCCACACCCAACATAACTTCTAATCAGTATTTGCATGATCAGACATGACAGTACAAAATGTAATTTTCGAGTCCTCAAAAAAAAAAAACAAAAAAACAAAAAAACAAAAAACTTGTTTAATAGGCAAAAAGAGGAACTTGAAAGAAAAATAATGGTTTGAAGCAAATGAACTGACGGGTAGTAACATACTGGCAGATGGGTTTTAATAGTAGGACAATTGAACTGAAGACAAATGAAAGAGATGGCATAAAAATAACTCACAGTAGCAGCACGTCTTTCGCTAAAGTATTTACACTTCTGCAATTCTTTGTAGAGTTCACCTTTGGCTGCGTACTCTAATATCAAATAAACACGTTTCTGCCACAATTTCAGGTAGAAAAAACACAAATCAGTCAAATTTAGCAAGCACTTACAAAAATACACAAGGATCCTGCGAACACACCTGATCGTAAAAGTAACCATAGAGGCGCAATATATTGGGATGCCTAAGATGACTTTGAATTTCAACTTCACGACGGAGCTGATGTTCAACCTGTGACTGTTGCAACTGGCTCTTAAACAGAACCTTCAAAGCCACAATATGATTGCTCTGATACAGCAAACATAAAAAAGATCAATTGATTATACAATGACTAGTTAAAACAACCCCCCAAAATAAATCTGTTTAATTCCCTCAAAGTTCTAAGCTAACCCCGAAATTAAAAAACCCAAAAATTAAAACTTTAATTTAACACTAGAGAACCCATATACTTTATGTACAGCAACCACAGATTTCAACAATAAATAAAGGGTTTATCAAAGAAAACGAAAACTTACCCTTTTTTCTCTGGCTAAGTAAACATGACCAAACTTTCCGCGTCCAAGTGGCTTTCCTATATCAAAATCGTTTAGCGTCCATCTCTTCTTCTCTGCCCCTGATACCTCTGTACTAGCCTGTACCAAGTTTTTTTTTTAAAAAAAAAACCCACAACTCAAAACTCTAAATTACATCAAATCCCAAAATATAAACTGTCAAAAGATTCAATTTCGATACATTAAAAAAGAAATTAAAGAATCAAACCAAGAAGCGCACCGAATCCTTTACAAAACGAGAAAGCAAAAACCCTAGATTCTGAAATCCAGGTAAACTAATTACGACATTTTACAAGAATTACCTTCTCTTGGGGTTGGCTCTCTGCAGCAATCGCCATTAGCAAAAGATTTTTAGAGAGAGAAATGTTTTTTCAGAGAGAGAGAGTTTTTCTGAGACCTACGAAAGACAGAGAAGAAAATTGGGGTTACTAGAATAATATTAAGAAATTTTTTTTCGTAACGGTCGAATTCGTATGTGGACGAATCCCTCTTATTTTTCTTTTTTCAAATTATTTTGTCTTTTTTGAGAGCGTTGGCTTGGATCTGAAAATCGATAGTCTACTGTGACACTGCTGTGACATTGATGGTCACTGACATGTAAATTGTGATTGGGCTTTTTCAAAAGGTTAAGTGGGTCACTAAAGAGAATAAGACATGTGTTAGCACTAAAAATTCTTTGAACGCCCTACGTATTTTACGGGTTCCACTATGGCAAAGGCCAAGAACCCTTTGTTTTTGGGCATCTTGTTTTTTTAGAAAGCTAGCTGATTATAGTGTTGAAAGTTTCTAGTAATAAAATTTGACATGAAAAAAAAAAAAGAATTAGTATTTTTTTTTTTGCATGTCAAATTTTATTATTAGAAAATTTAATTTAATTTAATTATTTTTTTTGGGAGTGGGAAAAGGTGTTTCATGAGTGTTTTAAAAGAATGAACTAGTCATCAACGGAAGCTTAATTGCATGTAATTAATACGTATTATTATTTGATTTGGTGGTATTTTTAGATTGTTTTTATACACTAAAACTAAGAATGCATTGATAGTTTGTCCGGCCATAGTGGCAAGATATGAGTTTATATCCGTACAAAAAAAATCAATAAAATTATATTTAATACAGTTTGATATCAAATTTAAATTACAGTGATTAATGAAGGATCAAACCCTTTCTAACCACGAGAACATTGGCATTACACATATTCAGTACCAACTTGAAATGTAAATTTGTTATTAGATTATTCCTATTTTCACTTCACCACTACTATCCCTAAAAATATTAGCCAAATATAATTTTCTTTTTGAGTAAATTTTGAATTAATCGTCTAGTTTCGAGAAATTGAATTAATTAATCTTTTTATATTTTAAAAACTAATTATTTAATTTCTATATTTTTAAATTTTTTTACTTAATATTTTTAGCTTTTTTTCAATTTTTTTAAGAAATAGAAAAATGAAAAAAAAGTAAAAATATTAATTATTAATAAAAAAATATTTTATAAAATAAAATAATATTAAATTAAGAGTGATCAACACTTGTTAAGAACTAAATAATTAATTTTTAGAAAAAAAACTAATTAATTTATTATTCAAAAATAGAAGGACTAATTTATAATTTTTTTCATTCTTTTTTTTTTTTTTTCTTTTCGTCTCTTTTAATTAAGGATTTGGTTGACCAACCTTCCCTTAAGAGAGAAACAACTTTCATATATGCATGAATTCTTTATCTGCCTCGTATTACTCTGATCATCAAGCATTTTCTGAGACATGCAAGTCTCTCTATATGAGTTATATGAGTTTTAAGATTTAGATAATCCAAAATTATGAATTGAGTCTTAAAATATAATATTTTATCAAATAATAATGGCATGATCGGTTTATGTAATGTAACGATTCATTACATTCTTATGTTTGATTGCGTAATTTTTAAATTATTCATTACATTCTTATTGTGTAATTTTTAAATCAATCATTACATTCTTATATTTAATTGTGTAATTTTTAAATTTACAATATAATAGACCATTACAATTATAATAATTCATTATATAAATAAGTTATGTAACGAACCATTACATCATGAACTTTTTTGCAAATTTTTTTTCATTATAAAGATTATATTGTGAATTTTTTAAAGTACAAAGACTAGGGACCAATTTGTAAGTGAAAGTAAACTCGTATAGACTAAAAACTTTTTTTGAAAGTCATAAGGATTGAAATAAAACTTTATGAATGTATCTATTACATTACTATAAGTTTTTCAAACCAAACAGAGGAATGCATTGGATCATTCCATCACATAAAACAATTCAACAAATGTAACTCCAAAATTAGCACATGATAATATATATATATATGTCAATTATTTCACCATCGTATATAGATTTTGATTGGTTGATCGACTTAATTACAAAATATCACCTATTAGGTGTATACAAAATGTCATATGTCGAGTTTGTACAAATTTTAGTCACATGTCGAGTTTGTACAAAATGTCACATGTTAGATTTTGGTCGCTCCTTAATTACAAAATAAAAAAAATTATGATATTCGAATTAAAAAAATTAAAATTAAAATACCAATCACAAATAATACGGGATACTAATTGGTCGCTTTTGTTTTTTTATAGCATGCAAAAGTGAACTGCAGAACTCCTTTCTTCAATTTCTTTCAATTTAAAGATAGCAAAATTAACGAACTTTTTCTTCCAAAATTCAAAATGAAGAGAAACACAAATTGATGGCTATTAAATGCATGGTCACGAGGCCCAACACTATCATATTATAGTCGTGGACAATTTCGAAGCCCCATCGCACCTCATCGATGAGCAACTTCTCACTTTTGGAAAGCTAGCAAAAAAAAGATTAATCAATATTCATCATCATGATTCAAATTAATAGACAAGAAAGTCATCAAAACAACAAAGAGGACAACCATATATGTAGCAGGTAGTTGCATGCATAACCCAAGACCAAAAAAATGAAATAAAATAACCACCTAATTAACACAACCTTAGAAACCACAAACCAATGTAGCAAGTCGGCTACCATGCACCTTGTTAATTCAAAAACCTCTTTTTCATACTTTTATCTTCATAGCCCTATCTCGAATAAACCGCCCATGTTGCCTATGCATCCGACTCTTGTACTTAATTTCTCTAACTTTATTTGCCATCGTCTCCATGGCACTATCAAGTTTGTTAGCACCAAATGGGTGCTTCCCACTCATATAATTATAAACCCCCAACAATATCGTTATAGCCGCCATGCCACTCCTACCCGAAAAAGAAAGCCGGAGATTATCAAGAACGTTACTATCCCGATTGGGACTAGTATCGGACTAAATAACACTAATGGTGGGGTGGCCGGAACGAGGACTATACATGCCCTAGTAAAGAATAACCCGGCCAACAATAAGAGTGTTACACCTATAGTGGATGTTGTTATGAGCCTAAGCACGAGCACTGTTGGACATTGGCTTTGACCGATCGGACGGGATCAACGATTCATCGCAATTGATGTTAGGCTTAAATGATATTAATTTCGGAGATGAAGAGATTAACGATACACTAGGGGGATTTGACAAGTAATTAATAAGTGAAGGGCGTGACTATATATAATAGGAGAGGAGGAGGAGATGGATATTCATCATTTTGAAGTGCGCAAGTCATCTTTTTCATCCGATGTCTTGGTAGTAGGCTTAAAGGTGGCATGGAGCGTTGCATGAATTGATGGTGTTGAATCTCTTACACGTTGCTGTAAATGGAATCCTTATCGGTACTTTTTCTTTATAGCCCTATGTTTTGATTCAAAAAAATATGCTCATTTTCTTCTTTTTGTTTTTACATTGCTTTCTTGTTTTCGGTCCTAACGGAAATATTTTTGAGGTAACTCAAAGTTTAATTTTATTCTCTCTCATCCGTACTTTATATATACAATTAGTAAGGGTAAAAGAGTAAAAACCGAGCTTAGCTAATTTGTTATAACCAACTAAAACAAAAGAAAAACAAAAGGAACTAAACCGAAAGCTAGTCGGTGTGAAACGAAAGCAAAAGGAAAGGAGGCACGTCTTGCATGAGGGAGCTCGTCCGGCATGAGGGAGTTCCATGGTAAGATTCGAGTGTGATATCTCCCCTCAAGTTGGAGAATAAATATCAAGAATGCCCGAACTTGATAATGTTAGCTCGAAAGGCGACGGGATGCGAGCTTTGGTAAAACAATAAGCTAACCGGTTGGAAGAGAAAACCGAAAGAAGATGAATTAGGCCGACTTGAAGTTTCTCACGTACTATGTGACGATCTAGTTCAATATGTTTCGTACGCTCATGAAAAACGAGATTATAAGCAATATGTAGAGTCGCTTGGTTGTCACAAAACAAGACAAGCAGGGCTCGGATGAAGAACTTAAAAATCATGTAGTAAGAATACAAGGCATTGAATTTCATAAGTAAGAGCAACCAATGCACGTTATTCAACTTTATAAGAAGAACGAGAAACGGTATGTTGTTTCTTGGATTTTCATGAAATCAAAGAAGGACCCGGGAAGACACAAAAACCCGTTACGGACTTTCTTGTAATCCGACATGTGGCCCAATCCGAATCACTCGAAAGCTTTCGGTTTGAATGAGGAATCCTTGGCCAAGAATAACCCCCGCCTAAGAGATCCCTTGATGTATCTCAACACATGATGGGCAGCTTGAAGATGAGCTTCTATAGGTTTGTCAAGGAAATGTGATAATTATTGTATGGCAAAGGAAATGTCGAGTCTTATAGTGGTTAAATACGAAGAATCGCCTAATTAATTGCTCATAAGCAGTGAAATCCGGCAATAAGGGACTCGGTAGGATTGTACGGAGAAGTGGAATCTTTCATAAGAGATTGGATGGGTTTATCGCCAAGAAAGCCATAATCCCGAAGAAGGTCCAAAGCATACTTCCTCCGACCGAGATTGATACCCGAGTTAGACCAAGCAACCTCTAGTCCCAGAAGAATTTTAAATCACCCAAGTCTTTAATTTTGAATGTAGTATGGAGGAATTGTTTGGTAGTCATAATTTCATCAAGAGTATTACTGGCCAAAATAATGTCATCAACATATATTAACAAAGCAATGAAGTTATTACCGGCTTGCTTAGTAAATAAACGAGGGATCGAAGTAGTCCGACAAAAGCCATGAGTGAAAAGTGGCGTAGAAAGCTTAACATACCATTGCTCGCTAACTTGTTTCAATCCATAGAGGAATTTGAGCAACTTGCAAGCTGTGTTAGGAGGAGCATCGATCAATCTAGGAAGGAGTTTCATATAGACTTCTTCATTGAGATCACCATGTAAAAAGGCATTATTGATGTCCAATTGTTACGAAACCAATTTTTACCAAGCAGCAATGGCTAACAAAGTCCTAATGGTTGTCATCTTAGCTACGAGTAAGAAAGTATCCATATAATCTACTCCCTCTTATTGCGTGTAGCCTTTTGCAACAAGCCTTGCGTTGTACCTCTCAATAGATCCATCCGCCTTACGCTTAATTTTAAAGACTCATTTGCAACCAATGGGATGTTTATGAGAAGGTAAAGGAACCAAATCCCAAGTCTTAGTATCCTGCAAAGCTTTAATTTCACCGGATATGGCATCTCTCCAACGTGAATGTTTAATGGCTTCTATATAAGTTTTAGGTTCAATGGTGGTAGTGATGCTGATTGAAAAAGATTTATGAAAAAAAGAACAATTATCACAAGATAAAACGAAGAAAGGGAATGTGGTGTACCTGTCATCGAACGAGTAGTGTCATTCCGTGAAGATGATGTAGTAGAGCCTTGAGGAGACATGCTTGGAACTAAAAGAGCAATGATAATCCCGAAGGTAGGTAGAAGGAATGATATGTCTTGTGGTTCGTCTAAGTGGAGGAAAGCTGGAATCATTAGAAAGTGGTGATGGAGAACTAGTAGGTGTGATAGGAGTAGGGGTTATAAGGAAAGGATCATTATCGATAATAAGAGGATGACGAATTGGAAGAGTAATAGAAGGAGTATTGGATGATGATGGAAGTGTAGGTTTCGAGCAAAAGGAAATATGTCTTCATAGAAGATGACATCCCTAGAAACAAGGAATTGTTTGGTCCTTAGATTGTACAACCGATACCCTTTAGTTCCAGTGCTTATAACTAAGAAAAATGCATTGGTTTGCTCTAGTTACAAACTTAGAGCTCTTGCTACATTAAGAATATATTGTTGTTTCCTTTCTACTGTATCGTTCGTTGAGGTGTTTTGGTGCAAGATGTTTGATGGATAAGGCCTTTAGAAGAAAAGAATGAAGGCATGTTGAATTCTTATCCATTGTCGGTTATAATGGTCCGAATTGTAGTATGGAACCGAGTTTCCACAAAAGCACAAAACTCAGCTATGAAGGTTCTAGTTTCAGCTTTTTGCTTCATCAAATAAACCCAAGTTGCTCGCTAAAGTCATCTATAATGGTAAAGAAGTATAAATGGCTATGAATTAAAGGAATAGACATTGGACCTCAAATATCCATATAAACTAACCGAAAAGAAAGAGTAGTAAATGATTGACTATCCGGAAAGGGTAATCTTTTTTGTTTAGCATAGTGACAAATTTCACAATGTTTTAAAGTTACGAGTACAAGGGATATCCGAATGTGAAGCATGTAAAAATTGTAGCCTAGAATTAGATAAGTGACCTAATTTGTAATGCCACAAAGCATCGAATTATGAGAGATGGTTGAACGGATACGAGGTGTAGTAACGAGAATCGAGCAGTAGAGGAAGGTTATTTCATCGGGTATAAGTCATGTCTCTTTTCAGCTAAACCAATCATCTTCTTGGAATGTAGGTCCCGAATAACACAAGAAGAGGAAGAAAATAACAAACAACAATTCATGGATTTAGTTAGTTTGTTTGCGGATATCGATTAAAAGAAAATATGGGAACAAATAAGGCATCTCGTCAAAATAAGTAAATCCGATAAAATGACGAGTGCCTTTGTGTGTGACTTGAACATGCTGATTGTTTGACAATTTTACGGATGCATGTGTGACTTAATGGTAAGAGGAAAAACATGATAAAGAACAAATTATGTGGTATGTGGCACTAGTATCAAGAATCCAAACAGAGGTATCAATACTATGATTAGAATTACAAGAAGAAAAATGGATACCTGTGAAGTGTGGTGTTAATGGAGGAGTGACTATTAACAATGTTAATAGAAGATGTATGAGTATCATTTGAAGGTGTATTAGAATTTTGATTAGATGTATTAGGTAAAAGTGATAGTAAACTTATGTACCGATCCCGAGTAAGTGTAAATTGATTCCGTTGTGAACCACCATATATATTGATATTAGGCAATACAGACATCCTTAGAACAATGAGAATCAAAGTGAGCGAGAGGTAGGACTAGTAACTGCAGTTCGCAAATCCTTGCTTATCGTTCTTAAAGCCAAGTGGAACTCGCTAATCTTGGCTTGCCGTTTCTAGAACTAGTAAAACCAGGTGGAAATCCATGCTTCGGTAACACCGATCCACCATATGGCCCATTCCACCACGAGTAGGTACAAATAGGTTTTTTTCCTCAAAATGTGAAAAACTAAAGCCAACATGTGTTCCATAGGAATGATTACCGAAGTAGAGAAACCGAGCTTTTGAATGACTAAAATAGGGAACACTTTTGCTGTAAAACAAGGTCGAAGTGTGAGTGGATCTAGTAGAAGCGAAGGAACTCCAAGTTGTCTTTCATGTTGGACAATAAGAGAAAACACCCGATTAATAGATGGTAGAGGATCCATCAACATAATTTGTGACCTAACGGTAGCAAAATTATCATTCAAGCCTCCGAGAAAAGTGTATGACATGATCATTCTTTTGAAAATCCTTGACTCCGTTTAGAGTCGTGCGGGAACATCGAGGAACGCAATCACAAGTAGGTATAGCACGTAAGTTTGTGAACTCTTCCTAAAGAGTTTTCAACTCGGTATAATAGGTACTAACAGAGAGAGTACCTTGATTGAATGAATGTATATCTTCCTTAAGCTCAAGCAATTCGAAAATGATCACCATGAGAGAATCGTTCTTTAAGATCTACCCAAAGATCAATGACGAGTATCGATGCACGGGACACTCTGTGTGATGTCGGAAGACAATGAGTAAAATAACCATGACGGAACCATAGTATTACAACATTCCCAATAAGAATAAAGAAGATCATTGGGTGGTGGTACGGGTATGCTTCCATCAATAAATTTCAACTTATTTTTAGAGAGTAATGCCATTCACATAGCACGAGACCAGCTATGATAATTCGAATCTGTCAAAACGGAAGAAACAAGAACCAAGGATAGATTCTCGCTTGGATGAATATAATATGGACTAGAAGGATGGTCCTCCGGTCAAGATCCGGATCTAGAGATGACAACCATAAGAAAAAATGAGAAGATCATGAAATGCTTAAAAGGGAGTGGAAGCAACAAAAAACTTAGATGAGAAAGGAAAAAAGAAAAACACGAATGTTTGCAGCTAAAATGATAGTGTTTGGTTACCGAGAAAATAAAGAAAGAAAGTGAAACAAAAAATGACACTCCGATACCATAACGGAAATATTTTTGGGGAACTCAAAGTCCAAATTTTATTCTCTCTCATCCGTGCTTTATATATACAATTAGTAAGGGTAAAAGAGTAAAAACTAGAGCTTAGCTAATTTTTTATAACCAATTAAAACAAAGGAAAAACAAAAGGAATTAAATCGAAAGCCAATCTGGTGCAAAATAGAGCGGAACGTAACAAAAGGAAAGGAGGCATGTCTTGCATGAGGGAGCTCGTCCGGCATGAGGGAGTTCTATGGTAAGATTCGAGTGTGATAGGTCCCGCAAGATATATATATATATATATATATATATATATATATATATATATATATATATATATATATATATAACACATTTCCCGAAAGCATTTTAAACATTGGCTCACACTAATTTGTACTTAATTAAAAAAAATAAAAATGATGAGACTCAAATTTGTGGCCACTTAGTTATTGAGGTTTTGATATAACGATAAAAAATCATCTCAACCTAAAAAGTTAAACTATTAGGTGAGATTTTAAAAATAATTTTATATTACTCTTTAACATATCTCATCAAGTGAGATCCCTTTAGACTTAAAACTTGCATAAACTCACACTATATTGTGCTTAAATAAAAGAAAAAATAGGGATGCTCGAGACTCGAACTTGTAACCACTTGGTACCATGATGTCACAAAGGAATTGATAGGAAGAGGAAGAAATATTGTATTATAAAATTGTATTGTACATGACTTAGTATAGACCTATTTATACAATTAAAAATAAGCTACAAATAGAAAGAAAAGTAGTGGCTAAAATGAAGCCTAAACTAAAGCCTAAGATCAAGACTTATAATCATGGGTCAATAATAACTATACAACTTTGATTGTATACCGATTATTAAAATATGGGTCAATATACTTTAATATCCCCCTCAAACTCATGTTGGCAAAGACATTACTAAATTGAATTTGCAAGGTATGTCATGAAATCGCTCTAGTGGATGAGCCTTAATGAACACATCGGTTTTCGATCAATTGAAGGAATAAGAGAGAGTCGAAGTGTACCATTGATAAAATAATGTCCAATAAAGTAACAATCAATTTTAATATGTTTAGTGCGTTCATGGAAAACATCATTGTGAGCAATCTAAAGGCACTTTGATTGTCACAATAGATGTTTGTAGCATTAGATTGTCGGACCTCTATATCATGTAATAACCATCTCAACCAAAGAATTTCTAAAATAGTGTCAATAAGTGCTATGTAGTCCGTCACTATAATTGAATGAAAAACTATTGTTTGCTTTTTATTATGCCAAAAAAATAAAAGAATCTTCTAAAAAGAAAGTAACCGATTGTAGATCTTACGTCCGTAGGATCACTTGTCCAATCAACATCGGAAAATGCATGTAAATCAATAAAGACCATGCAGAGAAGTGAAGATCATGAAATAAGGTGCCTTTGACATAAGAAAAGATGCAAAGAACTTAAACAAGGTGAGTAGTTCAAAGGGAAACATGAACTAGCCTACAATATGAACTACATAAGCTATGTCCGAAAGGGTAGGAGTAAGATAAATAAGACCACCAACCAATTGTCTTTAAAGAGTAGGATCATCTAAAATCGTTCTCTCAATATGCAAAACTTTGACATTAGCCAAAAGTGACATGTTGGTTGTCTAGTTATCTATCAAGTAAGGATGGCAATGGGGCGGGGATTGGCATCCCCATCCTCGCCTCGTTCCTAAAAAAAAAAAACACATCCCCGCCTTATGCCCTGTTTGGGGCAAAATTTCGCTCCCCATCCCCACCCCAAATGAGGCGAAGCAGGGCGAGGCCTCGTCGGATTACCTTTTTAAAAGGTAAAATGATGGGGCGAGGTAGGGATGGTCATCCTCATTCCTGCCCCACCCCACCCCACCCAAAAAAAAAAAAACACATCCTCGCCCCGTGCCTCGTTTAGGATAAAATTTCAAGCTCCATACCCACCCCAAACAAGGCGGGGCATGGCGGGGGGATGACGAGACATGTTGGATTGCCATCCCTACTATCAAGTTGGCACGAGTTAAGAGATTAGTGGCGTATTTAGCTTGAGACAAGTAATAACCTATATCGTGGGAAGAGACTTCCAATTCATGAAAGTAACTCAAATGGCCAAGATTTTTCATCTCAAACTACTTGTTAAGAAACTGTTTTAATTCTACAATTCTATGCAAATCCTCTCTCACAATAATTATATCATCCATAGATAATAATAAAAAAGTGCATCTTTATCGGCTTTGTGAATAAATAAAGCATTGTCATAGGAATCGGAGGAAAACCTATATTTGTTAACTATAAAGCTGAATTTTACAAACCAAGCTCTAAGCAACTTGTTTGAGACCATATAAAGCTTTAAGAAGATGATAGATTTTGTATGGTGGATGATCATAGCCAAGGGATGGTTTTACATAGATTTCTTTTGAGAGGTCCTTATTAAGAAATGCATTTTTGACATATATCTAAAATAGTGATCATTTGCAAATAACTGCTATAACAATGAGACTTTTAACATAAATGAGATGAGCTACTCGAAGAACAATTTTCTTTATAATCAATAGCATATTCTTGAGGAAAACCCTTAGCTATTAAACAAAACTTTGATAACCAAACGATCGGGAGTTCAAATTTTACCACTTTCACTTTTTCTTCTAATTAAGCATAAGGTAATGGTAGGTCTCATTACAATAAAATAAGTAATTAGTGATGAATTTTAACAAGTGGATTTCGAGTCCATCTCTAAATAGTGACTAAATAAGGATTGATTGGCGAGGAAAGCGAAAATGCACAATTTAGTGACTACATAGTAAAGGAATAACAACAATCAAGTAGCAACAAAAGTAATTCCATCCTTAAATATCATAGCAAAAAAATACACCGCAATCAATGACGAAATTGCAATGGAATTTTGTTGTTGATTTAGCTATGGTCACCAAATTTCATTGCTATATTATTTGTTGGAAAAGCTATTTCATCAATATGTCGTAACTCCATCACTAAATTGAAAGTTGTTGGGGAATTAACTTAACAAAGCTGTTGATGGATTTAAATTCAAATTAGTAATGGATTAGCGATTGATTGCTAAATTCGTCATTAGTTACGCAAATTTCTCAATCTTTCTAGCAAATTTGACGCTCATTTGAAATTCAAATTAACGATGAACATAAGTTTCCATCACTAATTAGCGACATAGTAATGACGCAAATGCGTTTATTGTTACTCATTAAACCCTATAAGGTTACTACTTCTCTTTTTCTTCCTCATTTCTCCCATTTTCTTCTCTTTTCCCTCACTATCGCTAACCCCAACCAGCCCCAAATCGGGCCCCCCATGTCGTTGCATGCCACCCACTCTCTCCCCAACCCACTTAATCCGATAAGGTGTGTCTTTCTCCTCAAAGTCTATTGGCGAGCGCTTCACCTCTCCCTCCTCGATCTCTTTGATAATTTTTTTCTCTCTAAATCATTAGCTTTTTTTTTTAATTACATTAATGTAATTAGTTGGTAGGTTAATTTTGTTAATTATTTTTTTATTTTCGTTATTTATCGGTTTATTTTTTTAATTCTTAGTTGAATATTGTTACTTGTTAATGTAAGGTTAAATTTTGATTATATTAATTTTTATGTTAATTATTAGTTTAAATTAGTTAATTATTTATTTAATTTTTTTAATTATCAGATTAATTTTGTTAAGTGTTAGTTTCGGGTTAAATTTTATTTATGTAATTTAGATAAGGTTGATTAATTGTTAAGTTATTTGTTATTTATTGTTAGGTTAAAATTTAGTAATTTAATTGTTAATTTTTATTTTTATTTTGTTAATTATTTTTTTTAATTATTAGTTGAATTTTATTAATTGTTAGTGCTAGGTTAAATTTTAATTATGTAATTTTTAGGTAATTCAGATAAATTGGTTGATTAATTGTTAAGTTATTTTTTATTAATTTATTGGTTAAATTTTTTAAAATTTATTGTTAATTTGTTATTTTTTTAGTTGTTAGGTTAATATTTTTAATTTGTTTGTTGTTATTTTTAAATTTAAATTCAGATTAATGTAATTAGTTATGATTAATTTAATTTAATTAATTTGATTTATGGTTAGTTCAAATATAAATGCTAGAAGCAAATATTATAACTTAATTATTAAAAATGAAAGAAGACAACATAATGATCAACATTCAATCAAACAAAGAATCTATCATTTTTCTTTCTTTCTATTTATTTAATTTTTTAAGAAATAAATATGAAAGAAAAATAATTTTTCTAAGTAAAGTATAAACCAACATTATACCTCCTTGTGAACAAAACCAAACAAACATAAACAATCCCTTGTTTTTCTTTGTTTCAATTTTTTACTATCAACCAATATTGAATTGTTCATTCAAATTTTTTGACAAATAAAAAATTGAAATCGTTCTTGAATCAGAATATTATAATTAAAGATTTAATTAAAAAAAAAAACCTAGTTTCGATATACAAATATTAACATGATTGAAATAAAGTTAAAATTTAATAAACATTTGATTTAGGATTAATTTAATTACGTTTAGTTGAATTTATTATTAAATTAATTGAAAAATTTTAGTAAGAATAAACATTTTTAGCTTCGATGTAGATAACTTTTCATTGATTAAAAGGATTTTTTAAATATAATTTATTTAATTTAAAATAGTTTCAATTATTAAATATAATACTAATTTTTGGAGGGCTCTTTTATTATAAAAAATAAAATTTAATGAAAGTATTTAATTGGTATAATAAAAAAAAGACAAGCATAAAAAAATTCAAAGTTCATGAACTCGATTGAAACAAAGTGAAAATAGCAGTTGATGATTATGTGATCATATTTTCGTTGAATTCCTTGAAAAACATAAAACTAGTTTACATTTTTTTTAGTGCTTAGGTAGGTGGCTTAGCTTCACTTGTCTTTCTCATCTTAATGCTCGTTATTGGATTAAATTTATCTAGCACTTAATAAGTTGTTCCGTAGCTGAAAAATTAATTGGGTATCGTATATTCAGTTAACGACTAAGTGAGAAAAGACTAAGGTCAACATACATATTGTTATCTTATGATAAATATTCATGTTTAAGATAAGTTATTTATTTAATCGATAATCGGCGATCAAGCTAAAAGTGGATGCCGAAGTCAACCAAGGTTTTTTTTTTTTTTTTTTTAATATTGTTATTCTTTACTACTTTTTGTTGCTTTCAAACATTCCGAACACACAAACCTCCCTTCACACTCGCAAAATACTCAAACAACCAAAACAATCGACCGATTCCCTTTTCCCGTGGGTTCCTTACTTGCCCGGATTATATAACCGTGATTGAAAGCTCGTAAGGATAAATATAAATTACTAATTTGTTGACGGCACGACACACCATCACAATCCGTCATTGGCTAGACCTTGTCACGTGTTCTTATGTGATATATTAAGTTTTGAAACAATAACAACGTAAGAATAGAACTCTTAAATTGGAAAAAAAAAAATTAGGATCTCAATAAAAAAAATCTGAATTATACAAAGTCTCAATATAAACAACAAAACCCTAAATAATAATAATAAGTGCATATATATATATATATATATATATATATCAACTAATACATTTTTATCTTATCAAAGGTCATATATATGGATAATTACTGCTTGTAAACACATCATATATATTTATCATAAAGAAATTTTCGTGAAATACTTTCAATAGTTGAATTAGAATAGGACGTAATAAATTGTAAGAGTACTCAACATGGAGTTGGAATAAAATAATGTAATTGTTAAAAAATATTCAAAAAAGTCACTCACATATATTTTACTTGGCATCCGAAGAAACTCTAAAAATAATAATAAAATCTCTGCAACTTATATATAGATTATTACAACACCATACGTGCAACTCGTTCAACATCTTACCTATCAAGATTCATGCAAGGCTCCACGCCACAATAACTCTACTGTACTTACAGTACATTCCTTTCACAACGAGTCTACAACACATCACATGAAAAGATGACACACTCGGTTTTATATTTATATATATACACACACCCCACCCCTCCTTACTTTCTCGCCAAACCCCTCCGTATACTTCAAATCTCTTGATCTCCCAAAATCACAGTATCAACTAATGAAGCCCACAATCAATCGCATAATTACTTAACTGTTGATCATGTCTGATCAATCCAAGCCAATGTCTCCCCAGCCTGTGTTTAGGCTCATAACGACATCCGTAATGGGTGCAACTCTCTTATTTTTGGCAGGGTTATGCTTTACTGGGGCATGTTTAGTTCTCATTATGGCCACCCCAGTACTCGTCCTGTTCAGTCCAATTTTAGTCCCAGCTGGTATAGTCACGTTATTGATCACCAATGGCTTCTTTTTCTCAGGTGGGTGTGGCCTGGAAGGTTTAACGACATTATTGTGGGTGTATAATTATGTGAATGGAAAACACCCACCCGGTGCTGACAAACTTGATCGTGCCATAGAAAGAATAGCAAATGAAGTTAGAGAAGTGGAGTATAGGGCTCAAATGTATGGGCTGTATGGGCAGAATTTTCATCCTTTTTAAGGAAGAAGGAAAGGACGAGTTAGAGTGAGGCTTCTAAGTAGTCATATGCCTGTTGTTTTGGATCAATGATATGCAAGATTCATGTGATTGCTTCTCTGCTTTAATTCAGTATGGTAAACTTGATAATATAATGCTGATAAAGAAGAAAATCCGTATACTACATTTTAGACGTATGGATACTTAAATAGAAACTGGTAAGTATATTTGACATGTCATGAGATAGATAGTGCAATTTTTATTTTTATTTTATGTAAGAATTCATTGTGATGTAACTAGTACGTGGATCGACTAGTGGATTTAATTTGGTTAATGTAAAGATCGTGTGGTGGGTTTTATCTTGATGATAGATTTAATTTTGGTTAATGTAAAGATCAATCTTATGGTGCATTTAATCTTAATTAACGCTCAAGATGGTATTAAATTATCCATTAACTTTAATTTAAAAAAAATTCTGCAACTTAGTGTTTTCTTGCATGGCTTCATGCTTCTAAGTAATTATAATTATTTTAATTATGCAAAAACTGGTTTCAAGAATAATCTATTATTTGTATATATTAAAAAAAAAACTGAATTATTTGAATATTTTGCCCATTTTTACTTGAAATCATTATAGCAATTAGCATGCAAGAGTTATTGCGAAGAATTATTTTCATAGACTTATAGTATTGTTCTTGCATATGATCATCATGATTAGTTAGCTTCTCAGTATCAAGTAAGTTCCATCGCATTAGTGATTTTTCCTTTCAGAAATGCTGTTTTCTATGATGCTTTTTTGGTGCCTAGTGTTATTGCTTGTTACCAAACTCGGCCATGTCATATGCGTTGATGAATGGTTGTAGTCTGTATTTCTTGAGCCCAACTCCAAATAAAATGCTTGATCGAGAGAGCCCATGGGCTTGTTAATTAGTCTGTGAACAGGCCAGGCTAGACACCTCAAAAATTTCAAAATTTTCGATTCTTAGCCACTCACTCTGAGACGTGTCAGGCATCCATAAATTTCACATCCATGCAAACGCCACGAGACCCTACCATCCATGCATCATCTTCCAGGCACCTTACCCTTTTGTACGCTTCACGAGGTGATACTCCTTCTCACCTTGCCACGTTCCTTCTCTCTCCCTCCCTATAATGCCACGCTACTCACTCCATTTAAGGCCCAACACTAGATCATCATAAGAAGGAAAAGAAAAATAAAAAAAAGACGTTTGCTCTAATTTACATAGTCTGCTAGTCATTCTTCTTTGTGTTTTGCACACGAAATCAGAAAGTCATGTCCGATCAATCAAGACCAATGTCGAGGTACGAGCCAGCAGTACCAGCACAACCAACTTCACGAAAGGCAGTGAAGTTTGTGACTGCAGGGGCAATTGGTGCAGCACTGTTGGTGTTGTCCGGTTTAACTTTGACTGGGACAGTCATAGCGGTGGTTGTGGCTACACCAATTCTAGTGCTGTTTAGTCCAGTTTTAGTCCCAGCAGCGACAGTTGTTTTCTTGGTGACTTCTGGCTTCTTTTTCTCAGGTGGGTTTGGCTTGGCAGCTATAATGGTATTGCTGTGGATATATAATTATGTGACTGGTAAGCATCCACCTGGTGCTGATAAGCTTGATTATGCTAGAGGGAGGATAGCTGAAACGGCTAAGGATATGAAGGATAGAGCTAAAGAGTATGGTCAGTATGTGCAACAAAAGGCTCAGGATGCTACTCAAACTCAGACTTCTTAATTAAAATGAATGAGGTGGGGGGTCAGCTTGGGTTAATGGTTTAATGTGATCTGTTTTGGCGTTTGGCGTCTGCTTATTTCTTTTTAGTTAGTGTGTTATGCTTTTGTTGGGAGTTTTGTATCGTCAATTTGCTCATTTTGTAGTTTGTCTTGGCTTTTGAAATGCTCTATCCTTTTAATTTAAAGCTGATATTTTGGTGTGTTCATAAATCTGACTTCTGTTTGTAATAGCAGGAAATGATCTAGTTTTATCTAAAACACATGGAGCATTGTGCAGATCTTCCTTCTTTATTTTTATCTTGTGTACAATTAAAAAAAAAAAAAAAACTGAAAACCACGTTGGTTGATGGCCTTTTGGCTCTAGAGCAAAGAGAGAGAGAACCAGTACATTGTATGATCGGTTCTTCAATAATTTGATAACTTGAGACATTCTTTATAAATCATCCCTGTGGATCACACTGAATCAAGAACAGAATCAATAATTCTTTTCTCTTCTCTCCGTATTTTTAAAAAATTATGAAAAATGGTGAATGATTGATAGAATGTAAGCCTATCTATAATTCATATTCCTCAAGAATGTCCGCTTTTACTATTCATGTAAACATAGAAAACTATTACGGGAAATGCAAAATAACCAATTACCAATGGACAATGTAATGTTTTTTTTTTTTTTTTTTTAACATATGATAAGCTATGAACAACGCTGGCAATTTAAAAATTGTAAGGAAATAAAAAGGATCAGCAAGAAGGAAGAAAGGTAGAAAATTGAAAACACAATTAGGAGAGGGGTTTCCAGATATCAGCAGGACTAAATTCCTTGCATCCCCATCTTATGACTGACAGATAAATGACTGTTCAAATGCTTCACAAGCTTCAGAAACATGAGAAGTCACAGAAGTAAAGAAAGTGGTCATCTAATAGAGGCCTTATATTTTCGTGAAAGAAAAGGAGACTAACAGAAGCAAGAACCAATTGCTCAGGAGCAGTTTTTTGTTGTTTCCTATCTTCTTTCCATTGCAAAAGCAGGAGAAATTACTGACCACCTTGCAGTAGAAGAGAGTGTTGTGAGCATTGTTGCTTTCAACTGGGGGATGCCTTGTGAAAAGTTCATGGCATCATCAAATATCTCGGAGTAAGCCTCACAGATGCAGCTGAACTCCAATGGAACGAATTGAAATATTCAATAGGACAGTACGAGACGATGGGACAGTACAAGAGGTCATGTTAAACTCCCTACACCAATTAGGATTTACAGGGGAGATAGTCTGCTCAAACTATTACTGACCAAATAACAAAAACACTAATCAAGTAAAACTAAACAAGGTCATGCAGGACATGTTAATCTCTTACTTCTATTGGTCGAAATATAAGGAAATGAGATGATGCTTTTATATCGAAAGCCGTGAACACACAACTGAAGTCATTCCTAGGAGCTGCTGGTTACCAGAGAAAGCATCCTAAAGATGCCTAAGACCAGACAAACAGTGACCAAATAAACATCCGTGTATCCATACCTATTGCAAAATGCACAACAGAGGTAACAATTCTGAAACATTAATTTCGAGACTCTTTGGAAACACTCTGAGTCAATGTCTCTGGCCTTCTATTCCTCAGCAGTAGATATGTTGGAAGAAAATGAGGAATGATGAACGCCAATCCCAAACAGAGCAAGGCCAAGATCCCGACCCACCAAGCCTTGTGTGGGATTCCCAATAACAGTTCATCACAAACTGACATACAAAAGAAAATAATAAGAAAATGGAAAAGATAGACGAAAAAGAGTTATTAATCAGAGTAATATTTAGCATGTCTTTAGAAAGTTCGATACAATATGCATTTATGGCTGAAGCATAAGGTTCACAGTAGAGAGTAGTCATAGATAAATTACCATAAAAAAGCAGGACTACACGAATCTTAAGCAGTATCTCTAGATGAAACCATTACTGTATGGCAACATTAGGGATCGAGAAACCTAACATCCAACAATTAGTGCTATAAAAAAAAAAAAAAAAGGCACAAATCTCAGGTAACAAATGGGCAACATGTCTGGATAACAATGGAAATACAAAGGGAACCAGGAAGGAAGCTGCGATTGTAAAAAGAGAAGCTTATCGGCATCATATTAGAAGATACTAGAACAAATTAAAAGAAGGCCAAGGAACCCAAAGATGTCACGATCCGAACCGACGAGCCGTGACCGACACATAACCCGAGGTGAAGTGATCCACCACGAGCTACGTAAGCCTTAATCCTTTTTTTATTTCCTATCAAAATTTTGACAGCATTTCCCCAATAATTGGAGGGTCCCAAAAATAATATATATCCTACATAAAAAATCCACAATACACATATACTTCCAAATCATCTTCCCTAATTCTCAATCATCATCAAGTCCCTCCATTGGACATTCACACTTTCTCATAAATCTCATCACATGCTCAATTAACTAACAACCATATAATTCAAGATTTAACATAAATGAATCATAATTCACCATTAAACCATTCAAAATACGTATATGGAGAACCTCAACTAACTAGCTATGGATTTGATGATGCTATTAACGGAGCAACTAAGTGAAATAAAATATATAATAACCGATTACAATTCCAAAATGGATAATGAGTACAAATTTGAAACAACCATGTCCTATACCCGGATGAAGCAAAATGATGTTTGGGTAGTACCTCCAAATCTAGAAAATCTATTGTCCTCTTTCTATTATCTAGCTTCGTATTATCTACAAAACATTTAAGGTTTGAGGGGTGAGTTTTCAAAACTCGGTAAGCATAACACATATTATAAATCCTTATACATACAGTTATGCCAATGCACCTATCATACATGATTTGCAACTAAGCAAGCCATTAATAACTTTTTTTCTTTATTAGCAATTAATAATAGCATCTTTACTTGAAATCACTCTATGCGGAACTCGTTTATTCCTTTAGCTCTTAAAATGGTAACTTTGGCCCTCGCAAGGGTAAACTTTAAACTTTGGCCCCCATAGGGGTAACTCGAGAGAAGCACTACGACCATTCCCTAGCCGATAATACTAGGTGCACCTAGGCCAACTATAACCATGTTAGCTTAGTTAGTCCCGCATAGACTTTTTTCGTGTCATCAATATCATTATTCTTATTCAATACATATCAACCACACATTTTCATTTAATGCAAGTGATCATCATATCAACATGCACATATACCATTCAATGTATCAATATTCTCTTTAATAACCACAATTCATATGGTAACATACAAATTCAATTCATTTAACTTTCGGTAAGAACACTCATACTACAACAATTCAACTCACATACAATTATTTGTAATAATTAAGCATTTATCCATACAATCAATTTTCACCTCACAAGCAATATATACATATATGATAGTAAAGACTCATAATCTGTGCTATACTTACCTCTAATCTAGATGAACACCCCAAATTGCAATTATCTCTTTCTTAAGTAGCTTTTTCCGTCAAATCCTCTCTTACCTCTATTATAAATTTATATTTATCATAAATAACAATAATTAGAATCTAATAAATTAAAATTCAAGTTTAATTGAAACTTAAATTACCCATTCACTCATTTTTTTTTAAATTCCTAAATTAACACAAACCCTAATTTTAATCAAATTCTAATTCCCTAATTCAAGATGAAATTCACTAAATTACATACAACCCATCTCTAATTAAGGTTATTATTAGCTAAAACATTCAAAAACAAGCTTGATAAATCTTTTCCTTCTCTCTTATTTCACCTTTTTTTATCTTTATTTTTTTTCTTATCTAAATTACTCCACTATTGCCGTCGTTGGAGTGGGTGGTCGTCGATAACTCTTCTCCTTCCTTTCTTTCCTTCTCCTCTCCTTCTTTTCTTTTTTTTCTTTATCTTCTTCGTTTCCCGTTCTTCTTTCTTTTTTTTCTACTTGGTTTCATTTAGAAACCATTATGCCAACTTATTTTGTTTCTTTCTTTTTTCTCCTTTTTCTTAAATTACCCTATCGCCCCTCATTTAAACAACTCACTTAACCTATCCTACAAGGGCCATATAGGTATTCCGGATAAGAACTTATCCTAGCAAAAAACTAGTAATTTCGGATGCTTTGCTCCACATATCACTCAAAATTGCTCTTCTTGGAGCAAAGCAAAAACTAGTGTGAATAACAAATCAACTTTAGATTTTGCTCGGAAGGCTCCTAAAAATTCATACTCGTTAAGCTAGTGGCATGAGAAAAATGCTCATAAGCCTACTTCCTTAAAGTAATACGACTAAAAACAATAAGCATATAAATAGGAGAGAGATACATAGCAAGCATCCCCAAATTGAACCGATTCTTAAAGTGATATTACCATCTCTCCAAATGTAATTTTTGCCTAAAAAATGACATGGGTGAAACTCAAGATTTGGCAAGCAAGATAAATTGAAAAGAATAGAGGAAAAGAAAAATACAAGAATCCCTCTAAACTTAAGAAGGCTTACAATCACCGATTAATAAATGAAGTAACCAACAATTGAGAAACTGGTTGGCTTAACAAAATTATGAAGCAACAAACAAAACAATCTCGGGAGTTAATAAATGAGAGGTGTCAAGCATCCATAAATTTCACATCCATGCAAAGTCGCTCTATTACGGATAATTATTTCACTTAAATAAGCGATCAAATCGTGCGAGTAAAGAGTAAAGAAAGTATCCTTCCCGTGAAGAATTAAACTACACTTTTAAAATTATCTAACTTATAATAATTTGAATTAATCGAACCATAAAGAATATGAAAGTTAAATTAAAAATCAATTATAAATTTACATAATTGAAATTTACTATCAAAATGATATGAAAGTAGATAGGGATAAGTTCATTTAATTCTAACATGTACAATTAACTAAGTTCCTCAACTCACAAATCACCTTACGAGTCTATCTTAATATATGGTGACAAAATTCCCTTAACAAGTTAATGAGTTATCTCTAGTCGGATTAACTCTACTCTT